AGCGCGTGGCGAGATGTGCGCATAGCAATATCGATCGCCGGGCGGTCACATCTTGCCACGCGCTCGAATTGGGCGGTAGGCCGGCCTAAGACAACGATTTTTAATAATTAATTACTCGTTAACTATTATGAAAATTGCAACATGGTACAGGACTTTTCCGTTCATCTCGATCCGTTCTACCTTCTCAAAAATTTTGTCGGATATGGAAAGACTCACCCTGTATAATCTTGTGACATTTGGTGATATATTTTATAACAAAGGTAGAAAAGGGCAATGTGATCAACGAGAGATATTATAATAATCTCAAAAAGTATACACATATATAAAAGTACACTTATTTACAATTGTCAAATGTACATATAAATACATGTGAAAACGTGTTACGTATATTTTCTGAAATTCAAGATTTTATTATTATTTATTATAAACATAACATAGTTTAGAACATCGAAATTAATCAATTCTTTCGTAATTTGCATTAATATATTTTTACTGCTCAAGTTTTTGTATTCATATTATGGGAGTAAAAGTGATAGAAAGGAATTGAATTATATGTTTAGCTCATGAAACACAGTCAATTTCTGTTTCCGAAAGAAACTGCGTATTACTCTTGAAACGATACAAATAGTATTGTATTTTTCAAATTGATTTGATCTTGATCCGACACGGTTTAAGTTGAGAGTAAATCTTTAGAGATTTTTTCGAGGAGAAAAATTTATATTCGCGTGGAAAAAAAAAGAATCAGGTATCCTTTGCACAATACATACATCGCGCGAGATAAGTTTAAAACAATCACCTTTATCTTGAAAAGGATATCGCACAGTATAGGCCGTTTCGTTGCTCGGTAATTGGTCACCGAGGTCTTCTAGCTTCTTGAGCTGTTTTCTAATGTTCTCCACCGGATTTTCCACATTGTTGTTATTACTACCGCTCGAACGTCCTGCACTCGAAGTAGCTCTTTTGCTGAAGCTCTTCTTCTTCTTCGTTACCATGTTAGTGTTGGTCTCGCTGGCGGTAGTCGTATCGTCAGACTCAAATTTTGCGGTACTTTTCAGGCCAGCGGCGGTGGGCGCGTATTTCTGAAATGCCGCTATTGCATTCTGACTCCTTGAACTTTCCGGATTTTCGTTTTGCTCTTCAACTTGCTCGCTCGCGCTCTGGCTGTCCTGCGATTTCGCGTTTGTTACTGGGCTCGAGCGCGCGTTCTTCAGCGGAGTACTGCGAGCACGATTTAAGGCCTATAGCCAGACATTAGGGCGAATCGTATGAACATGACGGAGTACCTTCACAATCCGATCGTGTTCTTAACAAGGATATATGCGCCGCGCGTTGCTCAACGAACAAAGACTGACGATATAGACGATATAGACTGCGAAGGTACTAATGTGAAGGATACTAATGTGGTATCGAAAATGAACGTGCAACAGTGGTGTTTTGGTATAGAACTAGCGAGAGTATATTTATCAATTATCAGCTTTTCTCGCACAAGTCAATTATCCTCGCCGCATGGATTTGTAGCAAGAAAGAATGTACCGTTCCAATTTGCAAACAAAAAAAAAGAAAGTTAAGATCACACCTCCACCTCTCTTGGGCGACTTGACGAGGATAATCTACTTATTTCGTTATGTCCAAATGAAACTTATAAAAAAAACGAGCCTTGTTAGTGTCGCTAGTAGCTTTGGAGAAAACAACGCAATTGAAATGTAGCCTGCTAAAAATCTCGCCAATTACTATAAAAACATGGGGTAATTAAGTCATTACGTAACAAAGGGTAGAAAATATTAATGAGATGTAACATGAAAAATGGCATGCTTGTGCTGTACGCCGAGCGTGCTTATACTAACAATAAGAATTACAGACGTTGATTATTGCACGCTGTTATTGTTAACGATAAACAATATTATACATCGAATGTATACTTGCTGAGACAGATCAGCAAGCTAAAGTAAGAAGTAATGATTATTTAATTTTACCGAACCATTTAAATTGTGCGGCCGCTATTTAAAAGCTTACAATCACGAGATAGACATCGTTACTCGTTTTTCCTCGTCTATCAGGTCATTCGGTCACTAGCATAAAAGACAAGGCCGCGAATGAGGAAGGGTTCCTCATGAAGAATGCGGAAATAGTCTCGAACAGTTTTCAAACAATGTTACCAGTGCTATACACCTTCCTTCTACCGTGTAACTTTTATTTATCATTTATTTTCTTTCAACGTGCGAACGTTCGTACTTGAGATCATGGGTCTCGACTTCGCTTGTATTGAGAAAACTCACTTTTGTTCCGACGAATCGGTCTTGTCTGTCCTCGTTCTAGTGGATGTCGATCTTTCGGTTTCTGACGCCGTGGCATAGCCCTCCTTTTTCCTGCTCTTCCTCTCCACCGCGAGGCGAACGTCGTTCTTCAGCTTCATATACTTTTCCTTGAGCGCCGTATACTTATCCTGCAGCAGTCGCTTCTCGCAGCGCATCTTTTCAAAGTCGATACTCTCTTGCTGAAGAGCCCGCTCGGTCTGTCGTCTCGCCTCCTTCTCGGCGTCTCGTGCAAAATCCGCGCGGATTTCTTCCAGTCGCTCTTTGTACATTTTACGAGCGAGAGCTTCCTAAAATAGCAGCGACCGAATTATGTTCATGTATCCTCGCGCTCGCAAGTGATCAAAATCCTTTAAAACGTGTACGAATCTTTATGCCATTTATTATATCATAAAAGCATGTGAAAACAATTACACATACACAATTATTAGAGACTTGGCAAGATTATTTATTATTAAAATCTTTACTGCGGTAATAAATTTGTCATTTTTGAAAATTGGTATATACATATAGTGACATATTGATTACTAACAGATCGTCTCTTACATTTAATATATGTACGGTACATATTAGACACTTACATCCATTCTAAAGTCACGAAGAATCTCGGCTAAACACTGCTCGTGATCTTCGGTGAACTTAGTGATTTTTTCTCGTTGTTGTACTCTCAGTTCGTTTCTTACATCTTCGAATTCCTTTTCCAGCTCTTTTTTAAAGACTTCGAGTCTTTCGGTATGCTGCTTCCTCAGCTCATATTCATTCAACTTTGCGAGCTTTTCTTCACCGAGATCACGCTCGTGCTCGTTCTCCAGCTTGCCCATCTCCTGACTCCGCAACTCCAGAAGTTCCCTTTTTCTCTCGTCGAGTTCTGTCTTGAGATTGGCCAATATTTCTTGTCTCTCTTTTTCATAGCAGACCTCCAGTTCCGTGCGGACTTTCTTTAAATTTTCCATCCTGGCCTGATCCATTTCACTGATCAATATTTGTACCTCTTGCTCTTCCTACGGAAAACAGATTCACGATGATTAAAATTCACCTTAACTTAACAAATATTTTGGAACGTTGCAATAAAAAAAAAGAAGTACCTTCTGCGCCATTTCCTGTTTCATTTCTTCCAATTTTTGATCCAAAAACTGCTGTATTAAGATTTTCTGTTGCCTGAAATTTTCCTCAAGTTCCTTCTTCTTTTCCTGTAGCTTAATATCGAGCTCGATCCCGAAAGCTTCAATTTCTTCCTCGTGTTCTTTATTCATTTTCACCTTCGTATCGTCAATACTTGGAGAGTACTCTAGCTTTGGTCGGACAAATCGCTCCTTCTGCGCGTAATTCTGATTAAACCTCGACATGTGATCAGACGATTCGTCATCTTCGAATTGTCGATTCGACAAGCGATTTGTTGCGTGCTTCGCTTTCTCAATTAGTTTTGTTTTGCGTATCTCATCGGAATCACTGCTTTTCGCAGTACTGCAATCGGTTTCGCTTTTTGACACTATATCAATGTTTTTCACCTTTTCACCTAATTTATTAGGTAGAAAATCAAAACTGTTATCCCTTTCTAGGGTATTCTTAGTCATTTGACTACGGTGTTCATTTTCCGAAACGTTCTGCACGAGAAATCTCTTGCCAACTATTTTAGCGTTTTTCGATACGGATTCGATTTTATCTACGGAGAAATTCTCCCTGCTGATCTCTGAATCCATTTTATCCTGTTCTTTCTCAGTAAAATAGTCGTTCTTGTCGTCGTCGTCGTTGTCGTCGACATTTTGCGAAGTAGATTTCCATGAAGACAAAATGGTACTAGTAAGTTTATCGCTGATTACAGCCGATGTCCGCGGATTCTTATCTTCAGATTCAGAGTCCCATTCGTCTTCGGACTCTGAATACGTAAAATTGATGTTGAATTCCTTTTCCAGGTCAAAGCGCACGCTTTTACGTTCTTCATCCAATGGTCGATCGTCTATCAACAGTCGGATAAAAGTCAAAAAAATTACAGCGGCAAAATTGTATTAATGCTAATTCAAGGATTGAAAAATTACTCGAGGTTTCTATTAAATCTTTGCGTGCTTAAATTATCACTTTTTTTTTGCTTTCATTTATCGTGAGACATAAATATCTTTGTTTTCAAAAGGTATCGGAGATGTTTCTATATTTTCAAATAGACTACGCTAGGTATAGTTACCGTATAAAAAACTACAATAAATACGAGGGCGAGAAAATATCCTAAAAAAATTATTCAGATATATACACAGTTGTACCATCTTCAAATTGTTTCTCCCTTAGAATGGATTTGGGTCTGTCACCAACGGTGTTATTGGTTTCATCGGAGACTGTCAATGTCCGGAAGTCCTCCAACTTGCCACCATCTTGACTAGGCGTTGTATCTCTGCTCCTGTTACTTTTCAAAAACATTGAGCCACCACCACTAAGTGTCAACTCTTTTTGCTGACCCAACTGACTCGGGTGTTTTTCCTTGTCGAATTTCTCAAGCTTCTCCGGTCTCGACAACGTACTGGCACTGAGCTTGTCAATGTCGATTATGTTCTCCTCTGAACTGAACTTGCTGGAGAGCTGCTCCCAATCTTTCTCATGCCACGGACTCAGCGACTCGGATCTCTTCAGCACTTCCTTCAGATCAAGCTCTTTTTTCGCCGTTGTTGCCGCAGCGATTGCCGTGGTTGCTGCAGTTGCGTCTCTTGTTTCGAGCAGTTTAGGGCACTCGTAAAATTTTGGGTCTTGAAACTTCAAGTTTGTATAATCTCTCGAGGCCCGATCGCTGGACAAGGACATTGCGTTGTCGGATTTTGAGTCACTTTCCCTCGTTGATTGAAGCCTATCGAAGGAGGAGGGACGTTCCTTTTTGCGCGAACTGTCGATTTTTTCCACTTTCCGTAGAGGTGCCAGTTTCATAGGAATTTTAGTGCCTGTCATGCTAGGTTTCGCATGGCCAGTTTCTTTAATAGTTTCCTTCGGAATAATCGTTTCTTTTGGCAAAGTCGCGTCCTCGTGAGACTCAAGATCTTTGGCTGTAGTCTTGGAATCCTCTTCTGCAAAAATAATTTTTCCATTTTATTCTATTACTACATTTTCGTAATATTTAATTAGCTCTTTTACTACTAAATACGCTACCAATAAATGTATAACAGTACAAATTCATGTTTGGAGCAAACATATATACAAAGATAAGTGGAAAGTATAGGAAAGATTTTATGCATAAAAGCGCGAGATTTTCTTTGTTCGTTAAAGAAGAACATTTTTAATTTTTTAACGCAAAAAAACGTGAAAAATGATAAAACTATATACAAAATATTGGAATATTACTCGTTTTAGTTTCTGTTGCAATTATTTAAAAAATTGAAGGGTAAGATTACAAATGTTGACAAAATTGTCGTCGTTTTCCATTGTGGAGAGCATTAGTTTTCGATCAAAATTTCATAAGAAATTGAAGAAAACTCATATATGTATCTTAGTAATAACAGCGTTAGATTACACAAACATGGTTGTTGCAAAAAGTGAGGAGTGATCGTAAGCATTCGAAGTCAGTAATAGTCAAGGTCTTGAAATTGTTAATCATTTATGTAACACTTCTGAACGGCACAGTATCCGTTTATTTGAGTGAGTTGATTCAACTGATTCAGGAAACAGATGTAGACAGCAGAGCTACTGCATATTATAATCATTAAGAATAGAAGTTTTGCAGTTATTCTTTCTAATGTTATTATTAAACTGAACGGCTGTTATAAACGTAAATACCATTTTAACTTTTATTTTCCTTTGTTATGACATTTTAATTGTTAAATTTTATTCCATACTTTTCTAGCAACACGTTGATTTGTATGTAATTGCATTTATACGAAAACCACGAGTTTAACAATCTCATCTATGTATATTAATAAACTGTACGATCAAAGTGGTCTTGAAAGAAATTTAAGATACGCGTACATAAAATTTTTAACATGAAAGAATATTTGTTTCATGACGTTTTCCACAAGCTTTCGTCGCAGCTATTTCAGTTCGTAAAAACACAAAATACTGTATATTTGTTGAATCGCAAAGTCGTTCCAGCGATGTTATAAAATTTTGTACAAGCGCGAGAAGCAGTGCATTAAAATCGCGCGAAGATCTCAGCTGTGGCGCGATCATTCATGGCTGATATGTTGTAGAAGAATCTAAAAATATGGTTGTATGTTCCTCGTAATTTTGACGCAAAGCCAAGGCATTGCATTGCCAAGTTGCACGATTTTACGGATTATTGTGAAGCATTCGTACGATGCGCATCAACAGTGTTGGGTATTAAATGACGTGTGTATGGCACACGCGCGATTAACGTCAACTTGTATATTAAATTACTTAATCTCTCGGGAATTGAAATAGTTATGACGAAAGCTTGTGGAAAAGCTTGTGGACATCATTCCATTACGTTAATTGAAACGATGTCAAGGCAGAGAAATGGCTTTCTGCGGGTTTATAAAACCGCATACGAGATATATTTTTTAAATGAATAACAAGCTCATTATTATATTTAATATTTTTATCCTCGAATTTTTGATACAACACATAATAATTTTATATGAACTGATTTTTAACTGTTTTTTAAATAACACAAGTAGTTTTTTATTTCCAACATTGTGTCATTTATTAAGATGTCGCTATTTAAAGGAGAAAGAGCCGTAAGGGCGACTGTAAACGATCTATATGAGATAAAGAAATATAAAAGGATGCGATATATTACCATAGTTCTGTTGAAATAAGAGAGACTCGCAAATTGAACGTAACGTATCGTGACACGTACCAAGGCTCAGTTGCCTCTTGTTGCCAGTTCTGGCTTGTTCCACGAGCCCTTTGTAAATTGCATCTAGGGGATGCTCCCAGGTGGTGGTGCCGGTGGATTCCTGATAATAATACCAGGCACCACTGGCCTCGTGGAAGCATGGGGACCATCCCTTAGGCAGGGCTGCCATAAGACCCTCGCGGGCCAAGTCCAGAAGGTGCGGTTCCGCATCGGGATCAATTCCCAAACGCCTTGCATAGTCGAGCAACTCTGGAAATACGTTGTTGTCTGTTAAACTCTTAGCGCACCACTAAACATAATGTTGTATGTGTCATTAATGTGCCGATATTTTGATGTCATTCGTAAAAGAACCGTGGAAAAGTAATCGGCAATAGCGACAATGCGCTGACGAAGTGTGACCCAGTTTCCCGCAGCTCGTAAAAACGTTTTTAAACAGCAATGATAAAAGTCGCTTTCTTTTTTATTTAACCCGCAAATTGAAATCTGCCCACATATTGCGGTAGCTTCAAGGTATATAACCATTTTAATCACTTTGCCGGTCGATAAAAGGATAGAAAATCTTCGATAAATTCGAGGTAATGTTAATTTAATTATTTACGGCATACAGTATTTTTAGCCAGTACAGCGTGATTTATTAATAATGCCCTTGTAAACTTTTTTAATCACTAGAAAGTGGATCTTATTAATATCGAGCTCGGGGTAAAGTGTACAATTCATTGATCACACAGTTAACCAGGTTAAAAAGTATTAAAGCGCAAAGGTATCTTCCATAGAAACTGTTGCGATAGCGTCATGGTTTACGACCATTTAACAACAGTCGTTTTTCATTGTAATAGTGTATTATCGTAACTTTACAAAGTAAGAGAAATATTGGCGTTTAAATTTAACGATTAACGTACCGCTTATTCCTCAATTACCGATATATTGTAGCTTTAAAAATGATTCGAAACTTACACGTGTTGTGAAACAACATGAAACTTTATCGACTTTGACCGTTGTTCCTCTAAATCGCCGAAATTCACGATTGTTAAAAGTAATTACGCGCGACATGCAAGAAGATGTATCATAGACAAGAGTTTTAACGTAAAATATTTGTAATATATGCGTTATACGTATGTATCCTGCGACAGACAAGCTTTTCCACGTCGCAAGAAAAATACGAGCGATGTTATTTTTTAAATGATTTTCATATCAAGCCTGTTACACGTACATACTCTACGTTTTGCTTCGTAATTTCACTATAAATGTAAGACACGTCCCTTTATAATATCAACATGTTTTGACAGCTAGTAAAATAAAAGTGTATTAAAAAAGATATTTCAGAGGCAAAATACATTCCCCTCGCTCCATTTGACAAGATTTGTAAAATGAAACCAAAAATTGTCAATTCGCGCGCAAGTGACATACGTATATTATATACAGGGTGTCCTAAAATTCGCGAATCAAAATACCATAGC